AATTTTTGCATCTAGTATTTTTACTTATCAATTCCCCTTCCACCAAGTTGATGAAAAATAGAAGTATTCAGATATTCACAAGCATGTAAAAGATTCTATTAATGATTCTGGCATAAGGTTCTATCAGACTTTTCTAGATTAATTTTACTGCCCAAACCCTCAATTCCATTCATTACAATAATTTTTTGCGATAAACAACAACAGTTCATGTGCATGTCACACATGCAGTCTGCATTTTTTGCTCTGAAGTGCACAAAGGCAAGATATATTTTCTTCAAAACATCTGATTTCAAGGACAGAAATATGAAGCAATAACACAACAATGAATTCTCAAAAGAAACCTGGAACCCGTGGAGCAGTGGCTCATCAAGTTGTGGGACTGCAGGACGTGAGCCCTGCGCTGTACTCAGGGACAATGGGATGTCACAGCCATCCCTGCTGCTGTGTTCTGCTGCTGGACCCAACGCTCTCCTGAGGCTGTCAGGGAATCAAACACCCCAAACTAGCTGAGGGTGGAAAAATCTCAGCAAGAGCTCCCAAACTAACCAAATTCTCCATGTACAACCAATGCCTGTTGTCAGTCTGACCACAGAGACGGAGCTTCCATCACCTGAACCAGTGACTCCAAAGTTCCATGGAAGGGAAGATCTCCAAAGCTGCTATCTTCCTTGGACAACAGGTTTGACTCAAGACAGGAACTGAGCTGCGTGATGTGACTCAATGCTGAGTTCAGCCTATCCAGCCTGTGGCACTCCCCACCAGCTGAGAATCTCTGCTCACAGGGGCCATAGCCACCCTGGACCTTAGGGTAATTCAGAGCACCTCTTCTCAACATGTGGCTTGGCTTTATTTCAGCTACCAGTTTACTCCAGAAACAGTGTATCATGGAGAACAAGGTCAATCAACATGTGACATATTTAAACAAGCAGCAAACAGTGATGCAACTCTTGGAAAAAACATAAATGTGCCATCACACAGACATTAAAGTCATGCATTGTTTTTCGCCTGGAGAGGAGGAAAAGGAAGTAGCCTGCTTCTCTCCCCTCTCCAAAACACATCATTTAGGGATGCTGCTTGCACAAGGACAAGTGCCTTGTGGTGATGCTTTCAATTCTGCACCTTCTAGGGAAGATAACACACTGTGGAACTATTTTAAGAACATCTCATTCACAAAGGTCTCCAATTCCATCTTCAGAGACAGAGAGGATTTTCTTGCTGCTTCAACATCTTTACTGGCTTGACATTTGCTTCAGAGGGAATTCATTTGCTGTTCCAACATCAGAATGGAGCAAGAGCAGCTGCCAGGAGAGGGATAAAAGGAAACACTGTCGACAAAGAGCAGCAGGGTCATTTCTGGTGCAAAGAAATATAGAACAGAGAGAACCGCAGAACTGACACTTTCTCCAGAAAGCAGCAGGGGATAAAGATGTCCCCTCTGCCTCCTGAAACCCGTGTTTAGGAAGGGACTAAACAATCAGGTTTAAGTTTGTAAATGACTAATTATTACAAATCAACTCTAAGCACCTGAGCATTCCCACTTAAAGCCAAGTTCATGCTTAAATGCTGCAGTCAGCAAAGAACTCAGTAAGTCCTTCAGAACTCTCAAAAGAAAACACTTCTGGCTAGAAAGCTCTGCAGAGCACAAGCTCAGTGTTTGGGAGGTGACATTTTTGGGATGATTTCAAGCTGCAGTGCTAATCCTGACCATCATATCTGTATATGGAGCACACTGGACAGACTTGGGGCAGGGCTGTGATCCCACCACAATAAACTATTCTGCAAGAGCCAGAGGGGGCTGAGGGTCCTGGGAAGCAACACAGGTACCCATAGAGTCTGATATCCACAATCAGGGAGAAGCACAGTCTTGGATGACACCATCTGTCCCTCACAGCAGTTGTCCCCCACCCCATCCCAGGCACATAATGCTGCCCTGCTGCAGGAAGCTCCATTCCATCATTTAATTGCTGTCCAAGGCAGTGCCACATTCCCACAGTGCTGCTCTAAAGAGTCACCCTGCCTGCTGCCTGCCTGACAGCCTCACCACAGCTCACCGGCTGGAGTACTCGATTCTTTTCCCTCTATCTTATTAAAACGTTGCCCTGAGCAGGGCAGGGACTTGTCCCTCATTCCACAAGACAAGCAGATCCTGCCCTCCTCCTAGATGAAGGAATATTGTCATCCTTTCAAAAGTTAAGACAGAAACCTTTTTCATGGAGAAAAGGTTTTGAAGACAAAAACTCTGGAAAATTATTCCTTGTGAAGAAAAGGGCTAACATACTTGAACAGCAATTTAAATCCCATGATATTTCATGTACATGCTTATTTTGTTACACGTTAGGATCACAGTTTATTTGGAGCGTGGTATTTATCTGACTAACCAAACCTGCTCAGATCCACAGGCGTGAGCACCATGTTTCTGACACCTTAAGGGCTCCAGCACCAGGATTTATGAATTAAGTATTTCCAGGGTGTTACAGAATACTGAGGACTGTATCTGCAGAGTGTTATATCAGGGTATGTGTGGGCTTGTCAAACACCCACATGATAAATTATCAATAGTGCAGCTCAGAGCACCCCTTTTGTGGATCAGAGACAAATCTGTGCATTTTATTATGCTTTGTTCCACTTAATGTTATTTTTTTCTGCATTAAAGGTTCACAAAACCCTTACATGCCCAAATGCTGAAGGACATTCATATACAACACATGATCAAAAGACTTATTCTAATATTTCAAGTCCTGTTTCCACAGCTAGTTCATGTGGGACCAGGAAAAAATGCTGACAAGTTATGTCTGGAACTGGACAATTACATTTTATATTGTTCAAGATGATATAATCTTTTTCATAGAATTTTAAGGTTAAAACACTACTGAGGAGCATTAAAGAAACAGGACTAGCTGATTAAAAAGTGTTTACCATCCCTTGCCTGTATGCAGAGCACTGTCAAAGAGATTATACCCCTGCAAACCAAGGGTCAAATCCGAGAGGAAAAGAAATCTCTCAAGAGTCAGAAAAGACTAAACTTGAAGCTGTGGATTTTCAGAAATGAACAAGCGTGAGCCAGGCATTTCTGATGCACAATATTGACTTCTACATGCAGTAACAGACCTCTGTTGAAGAAACAAAGGGTCTATTAGGCGAGCACTTTGCAAGTTTAATGTTTTCCTTACTACCTTCTGTTTTTTCCTTACACATACTTCCCTATGAATCAACTTGATCTTGTCCTCCTTAACCTGCCTAAAAAGCAGTTGAACTGAGAGCTTTTAAGTTTCACAGTGTGACAGAGGCCAGGAACATCAGTTGAAAGTGTTTATGAACCCAGTGTGCAAGGCAGATACACTGGTGGGGGTGGGCCACCCAACGCTGGCACCTGACAGAACTCCATATGGGCACCAAGATAAGCACATCCCTCACCAGGCTTCACCTCACGGAGCAGGGCTGCTGCAGCTTCCAAGGGCAAATAGAACAACATGGCTGTAGCATTTAGTGCATCTGAAATCAATAACGTGGGTCCCAGATTTTACCCACACTTCACAGATGGAAGCTGGGGAGCACGGTGTGGAGTGATCTGGTCATGGACTGCCAGGAAACACGTGCCAGTGCCAGGAGTGCAAACCCTGCACTTCTGCTGCTGAGAACCCACTGACATGACAGCATCTAACAACACTTTCAGGGTACTTCTAAGGCAAGACACTTATTTACCCAGTAAAGTACCTAACTGAACAAACAGTTAAGGTGACACTGTGTTTAGACCTGAATAATGGCACTGAGACATTGACCTGCAAATACACTGAGAACCCAGTTTCCCATACAAGGATTATTGGGCCACTGCTCCCTTTTACTACTTGAAACGGTTTTGCAGAGAGAGAAAAAGAAAAGTCCATAATGTAAACGTGTGGGAGAGTTTTAAAAGCCTTCCAGTCTTGCCAACACAGCCCTATGCCCTTTTGTACCCGCTTCCTTCCTTCTCCCCCACACCACACCTCCCCAGAGCCCCAGGGGAAGCAGAAACCAGAAGAACCCTTGGGGTGTGCCATATTCAGACACGGCTTGTTATCAGCTCCAACAGAAACCTCAGACAGCTACAAATGTGAGTTCCAAGTAAGTATTCTGTCTCTTCTTCCAATAGGTAATATAAAATGGCTGTAAACCAAAATTTGCTTGTTCCTTTTTTTTCTTAAGTGCAGTCTGTTTTTAAGATGGTGACATGACCGCAAAACTCTGATATAATTCCAGACCAGACTATTAGTAACTGTATTTCCAAATGCAACAGGGATAGCTTTAACAAAGGAGCCCATCTTCAGTCCTGCAAGACTTTTCTTGATTACATTCTCAAAGAGCAGGCAAAAATTACCCAAACCCCATTGTTATAAAGTATCCCCAAAGTATCAAACCCATACTTGCAAAGATTTTGCACTGAGGTTTCAGGAGTCACAACAGGCTGTCACATTTATACTCTCTCTTCCTCTCCCTGCACAGGAGCCTAATGCTGTCCAGTCTTCAGAAACAAACAGAAAGGACAGATGACAGGACTGCACCTTCAGGGATCTGCTGGTAACACCTCAGCACTGCAGCTGTCCTGTCACAGCTCTGCTGAGCTCTTTTCCTGCCCAGACAGGAGCCAGGGGCAGCGAAGGAGAGGCTCAGCTCCCTCCCAGCACAGCAGATCCCCTGTCAGTCACGGACTGCCTCCGAACTGCTCAGTTCAGTTACCTGAAAGAACCTCTTCATCACCCTCACGGTAATTTAACTCTACCACCATGGGAAAGGCTCCAGTAACCTAGGAGAGTTTTTCTGAGGTAAAACTATTAATCAGATATGATTAATATTCGCATGAGAAAATGGAAGGTGTTAAAACTGTCGAGTTTTTATCCACCCCTGTGTTTCAGGGAACACTGATGCCTTACCCAAAGACACTGCAGACCCCAGGCATGCAGATTCATAGCGTGAGGGAACTAAAACAACAACCAAAGGATATTTCTGTCCTGGTTAACACGTACCTGGCAGTGTCCCCTGAGCGTGTTCTGAGCACGCTGGAAGGAGCCTCGCAGAGACTGCCTCGGGCAATGGGCCACGCTGCTGGGAGCACTACACCCTCTCATTAGCGGTTTATTTCCCTTTCCTGCCAAGGGGAGCCCACGCGCGGCGTGACATGGTGCCACAGCCCAGGGGCCCCGCTGCCAGCCCTGCAGTCGCCGCTCTCCGGTCCTCAGAGACTCGAAAAACAGGCCCCAAAACCCCACAGATCCCCTGCCCTTGGCGGACAGCCCCCGTCGGTCCCCCGTGCTGCGGGGCCGGCCCCGGCGGCACGGAGCGGGCGAGACCCGAGGGCACCGTGACCCAGGCGGGAGCAGGGCGGGCACAGAGGGAGCCGCCGGGGGTAGCGGAACGGGGCGGTGTGAGGGCACAAGGGCACCGGGACCCGGCGCGGCCCCTCAGCCCGCCCTCAGTGCGGCTCGCACTCCGCCGCCCCCTCAGCGCCCACAGCGACCCCGCGCGCGCCGCGTCCTCACCTCACCCCGCCCCGGGCCGCGATTGGCCCCGTCCGCCGTCCGTCAGCACATCCCCTCCGCCCATTGGCCGCCTGCCGCCCGTGGGCGGGCACAGCGGCCGCTTCCTCGTCCGTGATTTGCGGAACGGCGGCTCTTCCACCGCCCACCGGCTCCGCCACTGGCGAGGAGAGCTGTCGGTCGCGCCGCCGCCCGCCTCCCCGTGCCATTGGCCCAGTAACCTCTTTTCGGGCTTTCGCTTCTCTGCATTGGCTCATTGGACTGGACGGGCGGCTGCGATTGGGCGAACAGGGGCTCCCGGGGGCGGGACGGGGCTCAGGAGCGGCGTCCATTGGCCGGCGGCCCGCCGTGAGTGGCAGGAGGGTGAAGGAGGCGGGCCCGCCCGGGGTGAGGGTTGTGTGAGGTGAGGGAATCTCGCGGGGTCTCGGCGGCTCCGGGCGCGGCGGCGCGCGCTGATTGGCCGGCGGGGTCACGGGGGCGGGGCCGCGCCGCGGAGAGGAGGGGGGGGAGCTCCGCACGGCCGCGCGCGGTGGGCGGGGCGCGCCGGGCGCCGCGCGGTGATTGGTCGGGGGCGGCTCTCGCGCAGCCCGGCGGGCCGGGCGCGATTGGCTGCGGGCGGCGTCGGGCGCGCGCCCCGCGGGGGGGGAGCGCGTGCCCGCGGCGCGGCGCGGGGCGGCGGGACCAGGTGAGAGCGGGGCCGGGGCCGCGGCCGGGGCCGCGCGGGGCGGGCACCGGGGCCGCCCCACACCCTCCCGCCGCCCGCGCCGCGGGCCCCCTGCCCTCCGCCCCCGGCCCGCCCCCCCCGGCTCGCCCGGCCCCGCCCCGCCGCAGGTCGCGCTGTCAGGGGCCGCTGCGACCTGCCCCGCGCCCCCTCCCCGGCCCCGCTCCGCCCCGTCATTCATTCGACACTTTTCCCCCTCCTTCGCCCCCCCCCCCGCCCCCCCGCGATCCCTGTCCTGCCCCGGCCCTTCCCTTCCTCCTTCTGTTTTTATCTTCTTTTAGCCCCCTCGCCCCCCTTTCCTCGCCTTGCGCCGCCCCCCTTTCACTTTCTCTGGGTCCTTGTGTGTGTTTCAGGCCTTCAAGGAAAAGTTGCAAAGTCCCGAGTTGTTGCTGCTGTGAGGGAGCAGGTGCCTGGAAGGAGGGAGCAGGTGGCTGGAAGGAGGGAGCGATGTAGGAGGTGCCCGGGCTCAGGGAGGTTCGGGGACACATGGAGAGGGTGTGGGAATGGCAGGGCTAGGCTGGCCAGCCCTTGCGGGGTGTTCAGGGCAGAGGCTCCGAGCCCTCCCTCCGGAGGGAAGGGGGATTGATCACGGTGTTTAATTTTTATAACAAGAAAAACAACAAAAATAACCAAAAGTGAAGGAAAAAACCCACCCCGGCCCCACCCAGCTGCCCAAGGATGGAGTTGGAGTAGCCAAGCCCAGCTGGATGCTGGGGAAGGGGTTGGCGCCCGCACACATGAAGAGACTCCCCGAGTTGTTTGGCTTCGCGAGGAGATAAGGCCAGTGGAGCTCCATGTTTTTAAAGGTGGGCCGTGTATGATGAAACCCAACTTCTTTTAAAGTGTAGCAGATTTAATTTTTATGGCCAAATGACAGCTTGACCCAGTTGTTATCCAATCAAAGGGCATTTTTTTGAATGTCTCTTTGTGGCACAACAGCCAACGCAAAAATGATGGCGGCTTACAATGGCGGTACGTCTGCGGCAGCAGCAGGTCACCACCACCACCATCACCACCACCTTCCTCACCTCCCTCCTCCTCACCTCCATCACCACCACCATGCTCAGCACCACCTGCACGCCGGCTCGGCGGCCGCGGTGCACCCCGTGCAGCAGCATGCCTCCTCGGCCGCCGCGGCCGCCGCAGCCGCGGCCGCCGCCGCCGCGATGTTGAACCCAGGGCAGCAGCAGCCGTACTTCCCATCCCCGGCCCCGGGCCAGGCCCCCGGACCGGCTGCAGCAGCCCCAGCTCAGGTACAGGCTGCAGCAGCTGCTGCAGTCAAAGCGCACCATCATCAGCACTCACAACATCCACAGCAGCAACTGGACATTGAGCCGGACAGACCCATCGGATACGGAGCCTTTGGTGTTGTCTGGTGAGTAGAGACAAAAGTGAGCCGATACCTCCTTGTCATTCTTTACCTGATCATAACTCATCCGTGTTTTTGTCATTGGAATCAGAATAGAAGAGAGCTGCTTACTAAGAGTTTTTTTGCCAGTTCTTCTCCGTTCTTAGAAAGTTGCTTCACTCGTTTGCGTTGGCAGAACAAGGTTCCCAGTGGTGAGGAGCCACCTCTGACTAACAGCCCACCCTGCCATTCTGAGACAATACAGCTTGTTTATGCCCTTTCTCTACCTTTAATTAGAGTGTGCATCCGTGCAGCTAAGACGTGCTTCCTAAAATTTCAGGTTAACAAATGAGCACTGGAATATTCATTTTGACCTGGCTTAAGAGTCGGAAATGAAAGCGTATGAAAATGTCTTCCTTGTGCAGTCACCTGTCAAGATCTTTGTCTCACGGCGGTTTGACCCGCGGTAGTGCTGTGTGCTACCTCAAACAGCACAGCTGAACTCTGCTCCCCTCTCAAAAATGGAAATGGGATTTCCTGCCTTGCTGTAGCTCTGCCTCCGGCCCTTTTATCCCCCAGCCGCGTTTCAGAGGAGTCTGTCAGTGGAGTGGAATCTCTCCTAATGCATTTTATGACTACCTTAGAGCCATGTATGTAATTAGTGCCCTTTAGGAGCACTGACACAAAGCTGGCAGCAGTATCTGTGCATTTGTATATAAATGTTTGTCGGCGTGCCCTGTTCTGAGCTGTGCCCGGGAAGCATGAAGGCTGGCAGGGAGTTGTTCTGGAGAGCAGGCGTGTTGCAGTGCACTTCCTGCAGCACGAATGCAAAGTTTGCAGCGTGCAGCTGTGTGTGGTGTCCCAGCGCTCTGCAGCGTTCCCAGCCGAGCCTCTGGGATGCCCCAGGAGTTTTGCTTTAGGCACTGGCCCAGCTGCAGCTGCAGTGAGAGGAGTGGCTGGGTCACGGTGTGTGCCAGTGCACGGAGACAGAGGGCTCAGCAGGGCAGGCCTCAGGAGAGCAAAACCCCTTCTGCCTGCAGCCCAGCCCTTCAAGCTGGCCACACATCACCAGTCCAGTGCTGGTACCAAAATGGTGCTTTCTGAGAAGGCTGAGGGAGCTGCAGGAGTGAGGTGCAGGTCAGTGTTGTGGTTGCATCTCGTGTGCCTTCCCTCAGAGCTGGGGAGTTAATTTTAACGCTGAGTTCTCCCAGTTGGAGGAGAGCTGTTGTGCAGTCAGCACTGCTGTGCTCTGGCTGTGGTACGGCATTAAAATGTGGGTGTAAAAGAATGAAAACTGACAAGGAATCTGCTGTAAAAAGTTATCTAAAGATATTCCCCTCAGTTTGCATATTTTTTAAAGTATGGAATTTTATAACTTAATTTGTTACGGTCTTTGCTTAAATTCGTGTTGTTATGTAAGATCAGCCCTTTTTATCGATCTTCTGTTGTTTGCCCGTGCATTTCCGAGGTCTTTATTTTCCCCATTCTGTTCACCAAAAAACAAAGTGCAGAGAGAGATCTGCCTCCACAGTATTCAGTAGAAGGAAAGGTCACGCTTGCATATTTAAATATAATATCATTAGAGTGCTGAGGGGAGAAAGGAGGTGTAGAGGGAAGGGTCTGACTGACATCAGGTAGCAAAGACAGTGCCAAAAGCATCGGCCCACCCCGAGCCCTGGGCTGCGCACCTGCGGCGCCCGCAGGACCTGCCCCTGGGGGACGGTGCCTGCAGAGCTGCAGCTACAGCTTTGCTGTGAGGTAACAGCAGCTTGGGAAAGAGAAAACAGCAAAGGGGGAGGGTGTTAGCTAAAAGCAGAAGCTGGGAGCTGGGATCCCTCTGGCAGAGCTGGGGCTGCACTGGCTGAGGATGTCATTGGTGGGAGTGAGTTCCTCTTTGCTCACGTGTGTTTGAATTCAGTGGTCACTGCTCAGCTTTTGGCATTTCATGTTAACTTCTGCTGGTGAGTGCAGGCTCAAGTTAGGAGTCTGTAAGCAGGAATTAAATAGAATTTTAGTTTCATTCAAAATGTGGTAGAATGCCCATGTAATTGAATTTTAGCTATGTGAGATAAAGTAAACACTGACTTGGGTATTTATAGTTTGAGGTGACTTGGACATGAGCAACGTGCACTTGGGTTCAAGCACGACACAGGATTCACAAAGCCTGAGTGACTTTGGAAGGAGGATTTGTTGTTTCTCAGTACCTTGTCTGAGCATTATTTGTGCTAATAGGTAACTGAAAAGTTTTTATCAGTGCTTCTGAGGGAAATGGATGTTATTCCATAGACAGTTGGGTATTTGCAGAAGTCTTTCATCTTTTGCTCTGATGTGTCACTGCTTTGTTGGGGAGGTACAGCTGACCTGCAGCTCAGTTCAGTGCATCAGACGAGCAATCAGCGTGTGGTGTTACACTTCCTGTTACCTCACCAAGAGATTTTCTCTTGGCTGTTGAATTAGCATTTGTCATTAATTCATTTGTCTGGTGCTCCACGATGTTTCAGGGTAGCTAATGTGCTGCTGGAGTTTTTCACTCGTGAAGAGCCAAAGGCTGGTGCTTCAGCACTTTGATTATTAACCCTGCAGGCGGGTGCTGCTGCTGGTGCTGGTGTGTGCACACAGGCCGTGTCCTCGCTCAGCTGGGCACCACTTCTGTGGAAATCAGCTGTCCTGGCACAGCATCTGCTCTGCCTGCTGACCTGGGACAGGCAGGGTGTTGCTGAAGCAGGGGCAGGTGTGCAGGGACTTTCCCCAGGTCCTGCAGGTTTGTTTCCCCATGCTCTGGCTTGGTGAATTGCTGCAAACCCCGTCATGTTCCTCATTTGCCAAAACCAGAGTGATTTGCTCTTGGAGTGTTCCCTGCTCTCATGTTCCTAAAGTGCTGGAAAAATCGAGATTTTAATGTCAGCTGCAAGCTCTGT